TTTCTGTCTGCAAATTTTGTATTATATACCTGCTTCCATAAGTTTATCAGCAGTTGATATTGTTTCTGCGTTCTCTGAGCTTGAAATATTTCATCTGACCAGGAACGTTTAAGTTGACACTTCAATTTACAGAGGATTATCCAAATAAGCCGCCAACTGTACGATTTGTTTCTCGAATGTTTCATCCTAATAGTAAGTGAAGATACTGGTTCCTTTTTCTTTCATGAATGTCTATATATATGTTCTTCTTCTCTGGTTGTGATTTATTCTGCAAGGCCTGATGACTACTACCTGTGTTAGAAATTGTTATTTACACATGTAAGTTGAATGCCAAGACAAACATAGTACATGATATTGTCACTAAACAACAAGAGATGGTTCTTGGACTGGGTGATATTGTCACTAAACAACAGGAGATATTATGTCTCCTTGCACATAGATAATGGATGAGCTCACTAGTCATATATAGGATAGAGTTTTATGGTATATGTTATTTGGTTATGATTTTGTCTTAGCTGATGAGAGTTCAGTTAGACTTGAGATATGGATATTATTGCCAGACATTAAAAGTTTTAGTTTAAGTAGGAGAGTAGTTGAGATAGATGAACAAGAAGTTCTTATGAATAAATTTTAGATATCTTGCTACTATTATTCAATAAAGTCGAGAGATTGTTGAAGATATTGTTTATGAAGTAAAATTGAGATTGTTAGAGTGGAGAGGAGCAATAGGAGTTTCGGATGGTCGTTTTTTCCCTTTTCAAATTAGTAGTTCTCTTTCTTTATATTTTTGAGAGCTGTAAGGCAACCATGCTTTATTGATCATTGTGTCATGCAATTATGAAACTTGTGCAAAAAAGTTAATATAGTCAAAATATGAATCTTAATGTGGATATATGGGGTTACTATAAAAATAAAATAAAAAATATTTTTAATTCCTGAGCTACTAAGAGAGGGTAAAACGAGGAAAAATCTTTTATGGTGATATGAACACGTACAAAGAAGGCTTAATCTATTTAGACAAGTTAGTCTATTAGGATTAATGGTGTGATTAGAGGTAGTGGGAGACCTAAGATAACTTTATTATAAACAATGAAATATGATCTTCCTGCCCTTTTATTTAACTAGGGATGTTGCTGACAGCTCAACGGTGGGAAATGCCTCATTTAGAGTTCAACTGATCAAGGGGTTAATTTTTATGTTAATACCTCATTGCCAATTTGTTGTAGAGTTGTTTGAATGTGAAGTTATTTTCCATCACAGAGGTTGTCCTTTATTTGCTGAATTTACTGGTTGTGATCCTGGGAAGTTTAAATTAATGTTGTTATATATTGAGTGTTTAATATTCTTAAGACTAATCCTAATGCTTTTGAATGAATTATTCAGTTTACGCAGATGGAAGTATATGCTTGGATATTTTGCAGAACCAATGGAGCCCAATATATGATGTAGCTGCCATTCTTACTTCTATCCAGGTATTAGGATCCATTATTTTCTTAATCATACACAAAAGTTTCTCCTAGATTCTTGTTGAGCTTTTCTTAAAACTTTGTTAGTTTGATGACCCTTCTCTCCCTGTTGTCGTGCTTTGAAATGCAAAATATATTTAGTGTTTGACATCCTTAATTTATCATTTATGTGAACTGGAATAAATAAGTGTGCCAACTGCTCAGCAATTTTTATGTTTGTTCAGGAATTTTTTTTCTGCTGATTTTAACAGTAGGGACTTAGACAATTTCATTTATGTATACAAGCTCATACTTTTTGTCTAACAATGTGAAGGGCCTTGAGGTTTTCACAATAAATGATCTTGTTAGTATATGGTGACTGGATGTTATAAACAGGTTGAGTGTATCAATTTTTTTTTTACATCTGATTGGTGGAGTCTTGGAAATATAACTGCAGATTTGTAACATGAGGGAGATCCTCTGAATTTCAGTTGATCTTATTTTTCCATCTTATATGGCATTTATTTGGGTTAGGCAGTCAATATCTACCATCTTACTTTTGAGGTCAGACTTCTGTGGTAGATTAGACTCGTTGAGCTTGGTTCTACTAGGTGGATTTTGTTTTTGTATCCTCAATTATGGTAAAGTGGAGGAGAAAATTGGAAAAAATTCCAAACCTAGGAAAAATGGGGCAATGAGAAAAGGAGAGGAAGAGTTTTTTTGATGTGGTAGCATTAGCATGAGTGGTGCTGGCTTGGTGGGGAAGTTTGGTGATGGGCTCAGATGAGGCTTGTTTGGGAGGGTTGATGGATAATGGTCTCAGATAAATATGAAAATATCAAAGTTGATGAGAAAGACAAGAAGAAAGAAGAGGGAGAAAAGAGTTCAAGGTCTAGGCCTTGCGATTTTGGTTATACGTTTGCCAAACCTGTTTCTAAATTGGTAGATTTTGTAAAGTTAACAGTACTGGTAAATATCTTGGGTGGTGTGCTTTCTTGGGTGGAATGAAAAAATATGTTGGAAGTTTTCCAATCATATCTGTAAGGCTTGGCTTTTATGTCACAACTTCTATGAGCTTAGTTGTTTTGAATCCTGTGTTTCTCTTAAAATATTATTATGGATGTCACCTAGGCTGCTTAGGGCCTTGGCACCTCACTTAAGTATCCACCCAAACAACTGCAGAACACCGTGATAGTGCATAGGAAGCTACTTAAAACTCCCAAGGCCTGCTTTTTTCTCTCTAAAATGGTTGTTTGTTACAAATAGTTGTTACTGGAGGGTAATAGGATTTGACTAAAGATTGGGAATGTTTTTCAATTCGAACATTGGAACAATAGCAAAAGGTTTTCTTTATCAAGTTGTTTGTAATAGTTGTTTTAGGCTTTTTTTGGTAAACAATAAGATGAATCAAATCTTTTTACTGTGAACATAGTATCTTCCATAAAAACACCTTTTAGCAAACACTGAAGGAGTCTCACGATTGTAGTTTAAGTTTCAATATGAAACAGTGGTTGTTAAGATTTCCATCTCCGCCTAGGACCACCGAGGCATTTGACAACTTTGACTCATCACAAGTAGTCTAATTGAGCTAATAATTATAGTTATCTTAGTAGATGATAACTTGGGTTATCTAAGGTCCATCAAAGACTAGTCATATGAGGATGTGGTACTTGCTTTAGAATGCTGAGCAGCTGGAGATTGGGATAGCTGATGTCAAACAGATATTGGATAATAATGTTAAATAAACTCTTTTCTGAGTCGTAAATCAGCATTTCATATCAGGATTATCAGCAATGAAGTTCGTAAATACTCAACTTGGATTGGGATATAGGATAGCTGATGTCAAACAGATATAGGATAATAATGTTAAATAAACTCTTTTCTGAGTCGTAAATCAGCATTTCATATCAGGATTATCAGCAATGAAGTTCATAAATACTCAACTTGGATTGGGATAATTCATAAGTTTACAATATTTGATTAGATCAACATTCATAGCTCGTAGATTACATATAGATATAATTCATGCATAGTTTTGTTTCTACATCCTTGTTCTTGTAAATAGCTTACTGGAATGATCTTAGGGTTTATTTGCAGTGTGCGACATCTGTGAACAAGTTTATATTCTTAAGGATACAGGGATGGCTGTAGCATTCATATTTTTTCTATAGGGGGTCATGTTTGCATCTTATCAGCTAAATTTGCAGACAATAAATAACAATGTTTTTTTTTTTCAAAATGGATTGGTGGATGTTTACACTTTAGTTGGTGAGTATATGCATTGTACCTGTGTAGTTATGATGATTTGATGATCACTCTGTATGGAAGCATATGTTACAACATTCTCTGGGTCAATACTTTTATCACTTATCTATCGAAGCTGACAAAGGGATCAATCATCTACTGACAGTAGAACCAAATTTTTGGTGCAGTCTTTGCTCTGTGATCCTAATCCCAACTCGCCTGCAAATTCTGAGGCTGCACGGATGTTCAGTGAGAACAAGCGTGAGTACAACAGAAAACTGCGTGAGATCGTCGAACAGAGCTGGACAGCGGATTAATGACAGAGTGCATCACACACACGGGGAGAGATGGTGCTTGCTTTATCCTGCAGTTGTATGTTGCTGTCTGTAGTAAAATGGTTTGCCTTTGTGCCTGAAACATTGTAATCGAACACGAACCACCATTCGGTTTCTTTTGCTTGCTGTTGACTTACTCATATCTAGCTTGCTTCTAATCATACACATTTTCACCATGCTGGTTTGCTTGTTCTGTTGAGCCTTGTTGATTTCATTAGATGGTTTTACTTAACTTTTTTGAAGCAAGATCTATGTTGGCCGGGTGCTCCGTTGTTCTGTTTCTACTGGTTGATTAATGTATTTTCATACCTTTTTTTATAGCTTTCTATCGGTTAATCAATCAAAGTCCGAACAATGAGTGCCTTGCTGTCGCTATTAAATCAATGATCTTTGGTATCTGAGAGTTTAGATTCGTTATGGAGATCACTTCTATTGATCATGGCAGAGAATCCATGAGCTTCCGACAGGTAGAGAGTGAAATAATATTGATCAACAGCCTAACAAATCGATACAGTACTCGTAGGAAATGATGTAAGAACCTATATATTCTGATATCACTATATAAAATAGAAGACGACATGAAAATGACAATACACCAAACAGTAATACCACATGGATGCTTTATCAAACCAGTTTTAACCCTATCGTACAGTGCAAAAGAAAAGTATAGAAACCTGAATGCTTTATCGCTCGTCCGTCCGTCCAAAGCTTGTAAATTGTCCTGCTTTACCAAATAACACCATTGTCACTGACCAGCAAAGAGAAAATTGTCTCCCCATCAAACGATTACCAAGTTAAAATCATCCCACATCAAACAGATAAATAAGAAACAATGATACGTCAAACAATATAATCCTTTACTGGACTGATATCTTAAATCACTACAAAGAGAACACAAAAAGTTGACTGTCACAACTTCCCTAGTTTATAAGCAACAGGAACCATTCAACCCCAAGAGATGCGGCCTTCTCCAATATTTATAAGCGGTGTATATTTCCTTTCATACGAAGAGAAACAAAACGGTGCTTGTCCTCTATAAAAAATGATCGGTATACAGTCATAGCAAGTAAAAAAGAATTGCGTACATGTGATGTAACAATCAAGTATATAGTCATGCAACAAGAAGCACAGGCAAGATCCGCGGCAAATTCGACATGGGACCAAGGGGGTCGTCACCGATATGAGAAAGCTTTACAAGCAGGATGAATCACATTAAAACATCAATCTCAGAAGCACCATTAGATGTTGAAATCAAACATTGATATCAGCTCTACTTGATTTTGTGCTGCCCATTTCAGACAGCCCAGAGGTTGAGAATCTGTGGAAGCTGTAGCTCTCAGGCACCGACATAGGCTGCTGAGGATAGAGTGTAGGTGGTGGTGCAAGGTTTAGCTGAGCAGGAAGTGGTGGAAGCACACTGGACTTGTAACCTTCACCACTTAAACTGCTAGAGAAAGGTCAACATTAGTATCATAATAGAACAAATATATGGAAAAGGAAAACAAAAAAACGATAGCTATGAAGGCGATCCAGGTGGTGCTGGCTCCTCATGATATCAAGCTGCCCCAGTAGCAAACAGATATCAGCATGGCAAAACAAACACTATAACATAACAATCACAGGAAAAAAAAGTTCCGGAGTACCTAATCTTTAGAACTGCTGAACTGGATAATGTGATTGTATGAGGACCTCAGGGATGATCAAGATATTAGATTGAAACATGAAAAGAAGTAGAGGATATATTAAAATCACATATTGAACCACACAATATGTTTCAAATTGTGTCAAGAATCTTTCGGTGTGACTAAGATTATGATCCAGAAATACTTGATTAAATCACAAAGTATTTTTTTATATAAAGCCTGGTAGATCACAACTTCTGTGAAATCTTACGAGTCATTTTTTTACTTTAAATTGTGGATTTCTTAAAGGTCTTATAATTTAATTGTAAGTACCGTATCAGAATATTTGCAGGTGCTCATATTGCAGATACAGGGCAAACCTAACATGCATTCAATCAGGATTCTTATATCTACAATCAGACTTGTCTGGATCTGCCTTTTATTATCAATTACTGATCATTAATTTAAAAAAAGAAGCCTCTTTCAGTCAACCAACACCTGCATCAGGGCCTAATACTTTTCTGAGAGAGTAACATTGTGTCCAGAGGAACTCAATTAATGTGGAGCCATAATAAATGTTGTGAAACTGAATAAATTAGGCCACAGAATTAGTCATACCACACACACACAGACAAAAAATATCTGTATCATAAAGTACATCACAGAATCCAAGCTCGAGATATGTATACCATTGTTTTGACTTTTTAGTCAGAGTAAGAACAAAATTGGAAGTCCTTGAGGTTAAATCCATAGGTGAGATGCAGAAAGATAAATTTCCCAAATTAACTAAAAGAAAATGGCTAACAAGAAGTAAATGCAAGGACTACTTGCTTTTGCATATGAAGAACAGAAGAAACAATAAAGGTAAATGATCCTAAAACAACTTGATATTTATTAAAAATATACCTCAATCTTCGGTGAAGTTGATTTTCATCACTTGAATTCTCACTTGTAAGATGAAGCGAGTTTTGGAGTGGGCTTATGGACCATGGACTAGGACCCGGTAGTTCATCAGAGAAATATCTTCTCCTGATCAACTGAAAAGACAGATGACAATGTTAAAGAATAAGAATTATCACAAAACAATCTACAGGTCAACATTAGTTTATTGATACAGACCATACGAAAAAACTTAATCACAGCTTCCTTGTCAAATCTGGCTTCCTTGGCAGCCTGGAGATAGTTAATAGAATTAGGAATAATCCAAGTGCAGACCAATTACTGACCACACACATAAATATGCTTTTCCATGTCTCAAGAATCAATCAAAGAAAATTGAATGGTCAAAAACAATAATGGTATATGCTGAACAAAGATAATTTTCCCCCATGATTTCTAAAAATAAATTACTGAAAGCAAAGGGCAGCTCCAGCTAAACCTTGGCAAGATACTAAGGGTTGGAATATTCTCATATAACATAGTACGTCTACATACGCTAGATAGAGGGAAGAGTTGGAATTGTTCTGGAGGATTGAAGTTACAACAAGCTAAGGCATCAAACAAGGATGGGCAGTTCAAGGTCTACTGTTATGAAAAAGGAGTCCTGGAATCCATCTTAAAATCATAGTCATACAGGAAGGAGAGAACAATTGAAAGCTTAAAAAGGCTTCCATGATATCATGGCATACTAGCCAGAGAGAAGAGTCATCAAAAAACAGAAACAACCAATTTAACAGGATCAGGATAAACCCAAAATAGAAAATAAACCAAACCAACTACATGGAAGAGAAAGAAGATTCATTGAACCTTTTGCCCATAAATGACTTCTACCTACCTACAATCTTGCAAGGCTCAACTATTTACTCCAAGTGTAAGAGAATGATCAGAACAAGTGCAAGAAAGGCCAGCATGTTCTCTCCTTCTCGTAGTGACACAACCCGATATCCTTCTAGCCTATTTTAGATGCTGATATTTATTCATATTGCACAAAATGCTTAAATGTAAGCTAATATTATATAAGTCGATCCAACCCAACATCATCTCTTAATTCAGTGATGATATCAATTACTTTTTGCACATGACATAGATCAGATATAAATTAACAGAAATAACTATAGTATCAACTATCAAGTGTCAAATGCTTATGCTGATGGCACGTACTATTAGACATAAAATCATTAACGGGTTTTTAGAAATAATAGGGAAATATTAAAGGCATTGCATTTTATTTACTATTCATCTTATCATCAAAATTAAAAAAAAAACCATCAAAGGTTCCATGCCAATTATAATATAGAGAAACAGTAATTAAAAAAAAGGGCGTACCCAGTACACGAGGCTCCCGCCAATGCGGGATCTGGGAAGGGCCAATGTACGCAGCCTTACCTTTAAATATTTAAAGAGACTGTTTCCGTGACTCGAACCATGGTCTCCCAGGTCGCAAAAGAGCAACCTTACTGTTGTACCAAGACCCACTCATAGAGAAACAGTAATTGCAACTGGGAAAAAGGTAACTTCATTGCAGAAAAGGCCTAAATTGCTGATAAAAAACTAATTAACTCAAGCTTCAAAGTAAAACTTCTTACTGCCAAGAGGCCTGAACTGCCTGGAAAACTCTCTGCCAATGGAAGTTCTTCACTAGAAGGAAGCAGGCCTTGTTTCTCAACCCACTGGCGAGCAACATCGACAAGATTGCCGCTGCTTACCCTTGTACCCTCTTTGGCAGAAATATCAGTTTTGTTACCGATAACTAAATAAGGAACAGGAAGGCCTCCAGGACCACCAGATCCCAAAGGAGCTGAAAATGTACCATTTGCTGCAATCTCAGCAGCCCACTTGTGCAAGTTTGCCTTGGTCCTTCTTTGAGAGAGGTCATGAACAAATATAACCCCTACAAAAGAGTTTTAAATAAAAGGTGACCAGAATTCATGTACTCTCAGCAGATACACTTTTGTAGCAAGTCAATGCAAACAAAAAAGAAGTGTATTCATAGAACATATCAGTTTCCTTTATTACTATCGAATATCATACATGGAAAATTGATGATCGTCAGACAATCCATAATAATAAGGTCAGGCTTCTATGCATGTGATTCCTTCAACAGCCCATTCAACTTAAGGAAATACGTTGTCCTGAGCCTGGACTATAAGAAATCATTAAAGTTAAAGAACACAGAGAGTATGCTATTTAGTTCCAATTTAATTGGTGCCCTGGATGGAAATAGCTTTTCTATATCAAATTTGCTTTGGCCCAAATAAGTTTAAGGGCTCATCAACCTTAAAATCACAGAAACCAGAATTTTCCAACTAAATCAAGGTCCAATTAAATTCTTAAAAAAAATATCATTTTACCATGAGAAATGCAAATAAAACAAAAAAAATACCAATTAGATTAAATTTAGCAGGTAAAGGATATTAATCAATAGGATACAATTAAAAATAATTCAGCAACATATTTTTCACCTTTTTTTGGTCCTGAAGACATAAATAATGATGACAATACCTACAAGTACAGCATTTAAAAGCTATGACAATATCTTAAGTACAATAAAGCTATGACAAATCAGACACTGGTGACTTGTAATAATAGACCACTGACGATTTGAGACACAAGAACTTACCATTAATTTGTGAATAGAAAAGAGATCGACAATCCTTGTAACGTTCATGTCCTGAGGTATCCCAAAGCTCAACAAAAAAGTCTCTGTGTGTGTCACTTTTTATGCTATTCGAAGAGCTGCTAACACTTCCATAAGAAACATGCTGGGCATGATATCATTAAGACATTGTGAGCTAACTTTGATGAAAAACATATGCAAGTTTTGAGAAAAAGAAAAAGAATTACCTTCACACCCACTGTGCAGCCAACTGTTTGAGAAGGTCGAGCAATGGAAGAACCCTTCAAGATTAGGTGTACTAGGGATGTCTTTCCAACACCTGACACAAGATCAAAGATCAAGATGAAGTGGTAAACTACAATGACATATATCCATATATAAGCACACTCCATGCAACAAAACCCCCCAAAGATGTTCATGAATAAGTTGTATATGAAAGTATGCAAATATATGCATTCATCAGAAAACAATTGAGTAAATTTAAATGGACCAATTTGCATGGAAATCAACATGTGAGGATTATTTGGACAAAACAACATTTAAAAATCAGACAGTAGCTTGATAGTCGAAAACTAAGAGTCTCAGATGCAAAAGGAAAAGGCAAATGACCAGATCCAGTAAAATACAAACTCTGAGCTTCTACAAAATCCGTATGTGAAACATTGCACAAAAGGGATAAAAAAACCCCACACATCTATTGAATTCTATCAATTGTATTCACTGACAATAAATTTGAACATTGGCTGTTACTGAAACTATATAAGAATTTGAATATTTGTTATGATTCTTAAAGTATATTGAGTAAATCTCAAAAACCCCTTTTAACAGGAGAACTGAGAAATTATTATTTTGTCAATAGTATTCACCTAAGTGTCTTCTTCAACAATCTATCATGAAACAACTCTACTCCAGCAAAAGGATAATCCCTCCACAATACTCACACAGAAGAACGTTCAAAAACAAAAACCTCACTGCAGACACATATAACTAGCTGCAATATCAATTTACACAAACGATGACGGGAGTCCTTAAGTTTCTAATAATGATCTCAAGTATCACTGACAACAAATCATACTTGTATAATCATGAACATGCATATTCCCATACTTGTTGTAGGAATAATTAGAAAGAAATATGCATTAAATGTAGAGGCACTCGCAACAGCCAACAAATAGACTGACCAACTATCCAACGATCAGCTCAAGTTTGTTTACAGCAATCCAATACCTGCGTCGCCGACGACGAGAACGCGGACCTGGCCACAAGGAGGACTACCGTTATGCTCCCTACTACCAGTCTCCTTCTCCCTCTCCCACCAAAACATGGTGATCACCACCAAATCCTTCGACCAGAAGAAACGCCTCGAAGAAATCCAGGATCGAGATCAAGCGCCCTAAAATTCAAGACGGAAACGACGGGTTTCATTTCATCTCATCCAAACTCCACAAGCACCCACCCAAATCGAGCAGCATGCCAAGATCCACCGACAAAAAACCAACGAGAGACCTAAATCTCGACGGCGGAAGTTTCCGGTTCGCGATCGAACAGGAACGAGGTGCCCCCAAATTGGCGAGATGCGAGTCGAGACGAATCGGGGGCTTCTGGAATCGATGGAAATGGGTCCGATTTGGACCTCAATGGGTAGATCGGATATTTTCGTTCTCTTATTTCCCTACTTAAGTATTTTTATAATAATATTATTTGGGCGAATTAATAGTAAAGAATCATTCTATCTAATTAAATGGAACCAAATTAATAGTAAAGAATAATATTGATAAAAAAGAAAAATATAAATAATATGAGTCTTTATTTTAAAATAGCATTTACTAAATATTAAAATTACATTCTGTTAAAACTATAAACTTAGATAGAACATTATTTATTATTAAAAATGTAAACATCCAAAAATTTATGTTGATATACATTATAAATTATTTTAAAATTTTAAATTATTTTAGATATACATATTGTTGATATACATTATTTTTAAATTATAAATTATGTTGATATACATTATAAATTATTTTAAATTTTGTTTAAAAAGTTCATGTTTAATAATTTATAAAGTTATTTAATGAAAAACAATCCAAAAAACATAGAGACTTTTTCTTTTTTCTTTTTTTTTTGGGGGGGTCCATCAGACTTCAAAGAGACAAAATCTTACAGTAACTCTTTAAAGCACATGCCCATATTGACAAGGACAAATGGTGACATGTTAGGTGACAGTCAAGTTTCCGGGCCAAGTCATGTGTTAGAAAGTATGTCGATATCGATCCCTCTTTATGTTGTTTGGTGCTTTTGTGTTTGGGCACTTAATGTGTCACAGGATAAACCAAGACATCAAAAATTGGGGAAGAAGGAGAACAGATGAGAGAAGGCCATCAAGTAGTAGCTAAATAATGGCTTTTACAGAATTTGGATCCATTCAAAGTTGGTTATACATCTGATCCCAATTTGAAGCATGAGAATGGTTGCAGACTAATACTAGCGTGCATTGAATCTGTATCTGTACCTTCTCGCCCAGAACACAAAGAGTAGAAAGTTGACGGAGCTCAGAGCACACATGAGCCAGTAGAACCGCTCGAGGTGGTAGTGATTCAAGCTTCTCCCCGACAGCCATGGCTCGTGGTGTCCGCTACCCGTCACACCGTTCACGATGGTTACCAGTACCGAGCTGAGGTAGTACCCCATCGCCAGCGACGCCCACGACAGCGACGTCGCCAGCGAGCGCATCCCCGCCGGCGCCTCGCTGAAGAAGAACTCGAGCATCCCGGCCAGCGTGAACAGGTCCGCCGAGCCCAGGAACAGGTACTGGAACGCCAACCAGAAGAAGGAGATCGGCAGTGGTTCGGTGGAGTCGAGCAGGCCGGAGTCTCTCGCCACCCTCTTCCTCTTGACCTCGACCAGCGCCGCCACGGCCATGGCTACGACCGAGAGCGCCAACCCGAAGCCTATTCTCTGTAGCTGCGTGATGCCCGCCTCGCTCTTGGTGACCCTGCGTGCGAAGGGGACGATGACGTGGTCGTAGAGCGGCGCGAGGACCATGATGAAGACGATGGGGAAGGTGGCGAGGGAGGCCGGCGGCACGGAGAGCCCGCCGACGCGAGTGTTCGTTGTGGCTGCTTGCTGGATCGAGAAGGTGGAGAGCTGAGCTAAGCAGCAGCTTAGCGTTATAGTAAAGAGGAAGACGGGCAGGACTTTGACGACTATCTTGACATCCTCGACTTCTTCTACGGTGCACACAAGAGCTCTGTGCGTGGGCGTTCCTTCCACTGCTCTGTTGAGGCACTTCAGTTCTCCATTTGGACCTTCGGCGTCCATGATATCTTCTTTGCTCTTCTCTTCTGCCTTCCCCTCCTCCACCTCGGCAGTCCTCACAGGGCTAATTGGGATCATGTCGACCACGGCATTTCTTACGTTCTGGTTACAACCGCGGTTCATGGTTGCAGCAACCAAGACCTTGGCTATGGTGGCGAGAGGACTTCCAGCTGGAATTTTGTTCCTGTAAATTGCGGAGCCGGCAAGGAATACAGGGATGGAGAGAAAGATCGTGATGGTGGAGATGCCCAAGCCCCACTGCCACCCCAAGTTGTCTTCCACCCACACGACGAGCGTGACGGCGATGAGGCCACCGCAGGAGAGGCAGAATACGAAGTAGTTGAAAAAGGTGGAGCGGGCGTTGCGTCCCCGGACGGTGTCCTCGTCGAACTGCTCTGCGCCATGGGCAGGAAGCGACCCCTTGATCCCGCCGACGCCTAGTGCGGTGAGGTAGAGGCCGGCGAAGAGCATCACAGCGTCGCCGCCGGAGACTTCTCGGCATGGAGCGAGGGAAGTGTCCGAGATTCTGCAGGGAGGCGGCTTGAGCGCCGGAGATTTGGCTTGCACTGTGAGGATGATCAGTCCCTGTTTCGTTGAATCAAGCTTAAGGGTCAGTATTTGTCATCGCAATCTATACGGTGAGAGAAGAGTCGATCTACTAGAAATTAATGTGACATGAACTCACCAAGAACTCCAGAAGTGCACTAATCAGGTAGGTATGATAGGCAGTGAAGTAGGCATCAGACAAGAAGCCCCCAAGCAGAGCCAGGAGGAAGGCTGTGCCCATAAAGTTGGTGACTGTGGTGGCTGAGTGAGAGGGGGAGAGGTGCATGAACTCTGCCAAGTAGGTGACCAAGTTGCTTGCATTGGCCAGAAATGCCATATTCGCCATTATCTCCACCACTGCACCAAGTTGCACATTTCAATCAACAAGTCTGCGCAAGAGAGGGTAGAAACATATGTATGCATGTCTGAACAAAAAACAAAACAAAGAAAGACAGGAGAGTAGTCTCTTGTTGTTTTCATGGCAATAGCAAGAACAGCTCACATAACAACAGATGGAAATTGGACAACCAGAAGCAAATTTATCAGTTGTTATAGCTCTGGATCAAGTTTTACCGGAAGTTATGCATGGAGAACTCAGCAAAACAAAGCTATGAGATTGATAGGAATGAATTGACACTGTGCTGCAAGTACATTAGTAATCAAAACTGAAGAATCAGAAGCTTTTTTTCTGTAGGGAAGCTTACCCAGCACAAAGGAGGCTGCAACCATGCCTCCATGTCTGCTTCTCAAGGCAGGTTGGTTCCTCCAATCCACATAGCCAACCCATCTTTCAGAGTCAATCACTTCTTCCTGGCATGAAAATGATGAGACTGATGAGGAAGATGTTGAAACCAGAGAGAGATGTAATAAGCCAACCATTTTGTTTCTGCTTTCTCTGACTTGGCGAAGAAGATGGAACAATCCAAGGGACTATGGAGAGAGTTGGGATGGATCCTTATTTAAAGACAGAGAAGGGCCTACTACATAAGAGAAATGTGTAGACCTACCAATCCTAACATGGACAATGACTGGTTATAAAAGAATGAGTCTGTGTCAACAGTCCATTCTTCCTATCCTTTAATCTTTTCCACTTGAATGAATCTTTTAGGTTTGCCTCCTTCCTATCCTTTGGCCATTTTCTTCTTCTGTTTACTGTTCTTTTGATCTCAAAAAGTTGCAAAGGTCACTCCAAAACTGTTCATCCCATTTTCCCTTTTCATCTCAACTGCCTACAAAAGTCATGAAGGTAATGCCATAAAAATACCCTAAATATATAGAATTTGCATTCAATAACCTATATTAAACAAAAAAGAATGAATATTGTAAGTCCGATATAATCAAATTTAGCAAACATTTGAGATGAAAAGTGATATAATGTAATAACAAAATTTGCGATCTTTCCGATCATTCATTCATCTTATATTTCATATCGATCATAGATTTATTTTGAATAAAAAGGGATATAATATATTGAGAGTAACTTATATAATAAAATTATGAAGGGTTATCCATAATCATCTATCATACTCCCACTTTATATCTTGACTATAATAAAAAATTTTCATATACAAATACGAAAAGGTTAAAATGAACGATATTACAAAAAGGTTCTTATTATCTTATGTTGTTTGGATATATAGATAAATCCCAAGGAGAGATAGGTACTCATGTCCAGATTTAATGTAACACCCTGTTGCCATGACCATAGCATTCATAACTTGCTGCTGAGACATTGTGTAACCATGGGACTTTTTTTTTCCTTAACTAAAATATTCTATAATTAGTGTTCTGCTTTGCATTAGTTTTTTTCCTTGTTTGTGTAGCATGATTAATAAAAATTAATTGATAATTTTTTTATTAATTATACAAGCAAGGAAATAAAATTTATTTCCAAATCCTTAGGAGAACCCTCCCTTAAGTTTTTTTTTATATTTTAGTTAAAAAAATTTAGACACTAAAATAATGTTATATTTTTAAAATCATAATGTTGGTTTATAATACTATTTTAATTAGTTTAAAATCCGAATTATGATTAATAAATAATAATTAGTAAGTTTTATATCTTAAAATAATTTGGTGAATTAAAAAAACTTATAGTTTTGAGAAATTCTCATAAAGTAACCATCCTTAGATAAAAAGATCATTTTATCTTTATTTTCATCGACCCCACAACTGCCCTCATCCCAAACCCGCCTTTGCGGACCTCACATTGGCTCCCATCAGATTTACCTCTACATGTCTCGCCCATGATATAAGTAATTGCTGACCCTTGTCATCCTAACTCCTCTCCCCCCTGCCTCGCTAAATTTGCCCCATGTTTACGAAGCTCATTGGCCCGCACCAAACCTGCCCATACATGCCTCGCTCTTGTCGTCCTTACCCACGACACAAGTGGCCAATGACGAAAGCACGGGCGAAGGGGACTATGATTATCGAGGTAGGGGTGGGTCCCATAAGGTAGAGAGAAGGAGAGTTAGGACGACAATGGTTAATGGTCACTTGTGCCGCCGACGATAATAGTGAGATCGAGATGTGCAAGGGTAAATCCACTGGGATCTACGAAGGTAGGGGTAGGGTCCGATGAGGCAAACAATGATACAAAGAAGCAGTAGTCAATATAAATAATATCGCTATTTAAAAAATATATACTAGAGATTTTTTTATCATAAATTGGTCCAAATATTATTATATTTTTATAATCATGATGTATAATTTATAATATTATTTTAATTGCTTTTGCATGAAGCTACCTGGTCGCCCTTCCTTGATCGAAAGAAAGGTCAACGAGAACAGCTTTTATATAATCATTATCTACTTTGCATTCTGCCACACGAATCCCCTTCCCATGAATTGATCTACAAAGTTATTCTGAAATCCAACACACTGTTCCTCAAAATATTCCAAGTGTTCAAAATATAATATGGTGCAGTATAGCACCAGCTCTGCTATGACAGTGAGAGTTCATAGTGTGCTAGGTTTGCACCAATAGTGAAGGACTTAAAACATTGTGAACACTTGATTGGGAAAGAAAGAAAGAAGAAATATGTTAAGAAGTTTCACCATGCCTAAAATGTATGTCCTCCTTTTCTCTGATTGACTTGGGAATCTAAATTCCTAAAAGAAGCATATAAATTGCTCAGGATTTGGCACTCATCCGATGGGTATGACACAATGGACAACAACATAAATTTTTTAAGGTGATGAACCAAAATGACTGTTGAGATGAAAATGGTTTGAGGATCTATTTTCTTCCACATTATAAATGTATTTTCGCACTAGAGATAAGCATGAGGAAATAACATATAAATTTGTTTTTAAAATAATAAGAAAATGATAAAGAGTACCACAGTTAATTATTTTTTGTGTGAGTTAAGGTTGCATTGACTTTAGGTGAATCGGCACTTGTTTCATATCTGTTGGTGTGTGTAATTAGTGATGGCCTCAATATTATTGAGTATAACATGGAAATATTCCAAACTATGTTGAACAAAATCTATTTGATTTGTCTATGAGATAGACTTTGTTGAAGTTTATGAGGACAGATTGTGCAGTGAAGATTGAAAAGGATTTAGCATCATTCCTAGAAGAGAGGCTTTTCCATGTCAGTGGTGGATACAGTCTCTTTTCTATATGAATGCAATTGTTCATATTCTCATGCAGACATTCTGCACCTGTATGGATTCATTGCACAGTATTAGAATCGGAACATAGTGGACTTGGTGGGAATTGAACCACCGGCTGGATTACGACCACCCATCAATCAGAATTAAAGTTCATATGGTGGCTATTCTGTTCAATTATGAAACATTGTCGTCCCACTGAGTTCTCTGGACCATAAATGCTTTACAACTTTGCCAAATTCTAATGCCAGATGCATTTCAGACCAAATTAATGCAAAAGTATTTTTAACAGAGATGTTTCTCTTGTCCCAACTGTTAGCCAAAATAAATATTTATATTCTGTCAAAGATGTTTATATTTTATATTTTAATTTAATAATTTTATTAAATTGTATATTAATTTAACAAAGACTAATGAATGTATATTATTAATATAAAATTAAATATTCAGTTTCAAGAGGTTAATTGTTTTATTAGATTAAAATATAAGAATACAGATGGTATGATAGTCGGTATAATATTAGGAAAACATTAATAGGTAACCTTAAATTTCCGAGTTCAGCGAGACTAGAATTCCTATTAGCTTAAGTCAGAACCAGATAATTAGCTTAAACTTATCTTTGACTCTACTTTGGATCTTCCTGGCTTCTGAATCTAATGATCTGCTTTAACTTAATATTTAAGTTACATCCTCTATCTCATGCAACTTTTGCAAAGATATCACTTTATGCAGCTGTTGTCATTTACTGCTTTCTTTTGCCATCTGCATCATGCTGCACACATAGCATGGCCTTTATGCTCACTTAATACAATACTATGCTGATGCTTAATGAGCATGCATAATTTCTCAGACAAATCTTCAACTTGATTAGCCTCTCTAAATACATAAAGGTAGACCAATACTATGATAAACTAATGATGGCAACTTCATAGAACTTTTTGATATCTTTACATGTCTTTTTGACCCATGACACACTTAGTGTCAAGTTCATATCATGTGATCTTATTTTATGTCCAGATTTCAAGTGGCAACTGTTGCTGCAACCAGTGTAGATTGCACAATGTTATCCTCCTTTTACTTTTTTTTTTTTTTTGTGCTTGTGGCATTCTATCACCTTTGGATAATTCATTTTTTAGTCTCATCCTTGTTGCAGCGTGTGTTCTTATTCCTCGAGTCACTGTCAATGTGACAAGATCTTTCACCTAAATCCAATGCTCAACAAACATGAACATCAAATGCCTGCTCTTGACTTTGCTAAACAGCATGATTCTCACAGATGGGAGTTGAGTTGAACTGGGCATTGAAGTGCAGAGAATATCTACGGACTTAGCTATCATAACAGGCAAGAATCACAACAGAGAATTGTGGATAGTATGAAACGCATTTCACATCTTGGACGGTGGAGAGGAGAAAACAAGGCAAGAAATCATCCTTGAAAGATCTCTTTTTTCTTTTAGCTTCGGTCTTTCGGTGGAATGGTGAGATAGTCAATGAAAAGGCACAGAGTCTGCGAGGAGAATTCAAGTCAAAAACGCTCTCAAAGCTTTCGGTTCACCTGAATCCAACAGTCCAACACTGAGTACCTAATCGAAGTCTAACACCGTTCAGTTCCATGTAGTATCTTCCAAGCTGTGAAGAGCAATTGACAAAGAAGGTCACACCATTAGAGGCATTGAGCCAGAACATTTGAAGTTTAATGCAATTCAAAATCAAGGTAAATGACCAGAACACTGATGCATACCATTGTTTCATGTTGGGATTTGATTAAGCTTCTTCTTCCAATTGTTTTGGTGCAAAGTAGAAGGCAATGCTCAAACATATCTCTATCTTCACCTTGATATTGACACACAGTTCATTTCATCGTTTGGATAAAGAAGAATTCATGAAGTATCATATATCATTTTCAAGGCAACAAAAGCTCATCTTTTATGCTTCCCGATATGAGGGTGCTGCTTCATAATTTACAATGCTTTCAATTGCTTCCTTTCAGAAACCTTCTCTTAAACCTTTTTAGACAAACAGAGATATTACCAAAAGGTAATTGCCATTAAGACACATCCTAATTTTTTAGATGTTTATCGAAGAATCTCAAAGAATATTATGAAGTTTTGTGTCATGATCTTAGGTCAGAAGCCATGGTGGTGTTAGGAACTTGTTAGGCATGTAGGATGATTTGGCTGTTCTTGACTATGATGGAATAAATTGTTAGCTTTCATGTCCCAGATGGTATCCACCAATCAATAGTTGTTGGTGACTGAAGGTACTCACTGGTGGCTGCAGATTATATGCTAGTCACATCCACATGCTTCCAAAGTCCACTGGGACCAATCTATGATTAATTTCATTAGGCAGACCTTTTACCAAAAAAGTAAAAAGAAAAAAGAGATGACACCACTAAAGAAGTCCTACAATGCATATTGAACCTGGAAAAGTATGGAATCACAAAAAGCCTATGAATTAAGTGTTTGAGTCCAAATTTGGAATATATTCTTATGAATTTATCCTTGTTAATGGCACACCAAGTTAGTATAGGGGATATATGATTTCACAGACTTCAGTTTTGTGACCCTTGAAGGGACAGAGATGCAGAATCAAATCAGTTGAAATACATCACAAGAAATCCACTAAATGCTAAATCATTCTGGACCTTTTGTTGAAGATTGAAGATCCCTAACTTGTTTATATTTTATCAAAAAGAAGAATCATAGCTGCAGAAGATATAGATTTCATGCTTATTTGAAAGCATCTGCCTTTCAGCAACATATGTTCTTTACAAATAATAGTACATTTAAAGGCTGTCTTTCCGTCAACAGATAACTTTAGCACCAGCAGGAACTGCATCTCAAAGCTTTAGTCATTTTAAATAGTTTGACAAGTGAATAATGTTTTTGAGTGTTCAGAAGTTCTTAACACACTTTTAGCTTTTGTTATGATCTAAACACTGTGATCGCCACCGACAAAAAGAATCTATGTGAAGTTCATTACTCACAAAAAGAATCTTTAATCTGATTTCACTTCTGAATAATCCACAAAAATGTGTTTTTTGTCAGAATTTTAAGTTCTGTATATGCAAATGTTGCAGATTACTACTAACTTTTCCTTTCGAAAAAAGGGAATTTTTCATTAGGAGGATATCTCAGTTGCAAATATCTTTTCTTTTTGGTAATAGAACAATTAAAGAGAACTTAATTGAAGCACAATTCTTATGAAGCAGAGTTCAATGTGTGGGAAGAAATGTGTGTTAATACAAAAGAATTAAGGATGATGAGTGGAGCAAAGCAGATTTAGAGTGACTATCTCACTTGAAATTAAAATTCAATAGCCTGAGCATATGAGAATGTGAAGTTTACACTTGAGACTGATTAATGAACCGGAAAAGCCAAGCTTATTTATCCTGAATTTCAAGCCTAAATAGGCCCATGATGATTATAATCTTTGAAAGATGCAAAGATCTTTGGATTTCCCCTTTAAAATCTTTGAAAGATGCAACCAGAGAAGCAAATACAAAGACTATGATGATTATGTGAAGAGGAAGGAATTGAGACAAAACAATAGAGAAATAAATGGATTTTTTTTTTGTTGGGTCAACATCATGCAAGTGAGATTTGCTTCCCAATAGCAACTGGGGAAAAAGATAATTAAAGACAAAACACCATCAAGATTTATTTGTTATGTTCATTTGCTGATGGATTAACTGTGTCACAGTCTCAAGATAATCACTGAGATGGGATCTGAAAGCTAAAATCTTCATCATTCCACATTCAGGAAATCTACTGGCATTAGTTATTTGACACAAAAAAGTCAGAAATCAATATAAGTTGTCTAATTTCAAAGGTTAATCCTGTTAAGAGAGCCTATTATTTCGACGATACAGAGTCTACGTATACATGTAGATGTATACATATGCACATATGCATATAAATATGCAACATATGCATACATAAATATATCTATAATTACTAATATGAAACTCAAAGAGTAAAAATCCCATGCTTCAAGTTGTGATTTTAGGAAAAATATTAATCTTTAGTTTGGCTTCCTTATGACTTGTGTAGAGTGCATTCGGTGGACATGTGTTAAGTAAATATAGAAGCTTGAAGAAGATAATAAAGATTGGATTACCGAGCATTAGCCATAAACTGGTCTTTATAGTCTCAAACAACGAAAGAATACACAATACATAGCCAAATCTCTTCTCAACCTTACTTGCCTATGTCTGCCTCTCTTCTCTCGTCTTGTTTGAGCCTCGAGCATATATATCTGTGCTCTGTCACTCCCGCAACCCCTCTCTCTCTCTCTCACACTCTCTCTCCCTCTCTCTCTCTTCCTAGAACAGGTTTCTAAAACCTCAACATGGGCGTTGGGGGAAGCAGTCGAGAGCCCCAGAGTAGCGCGTAAGTCTCGTCACGAAACTCCCCGGCTTGGCCTTGATGATATCCGTCTTGTCGTACTTCTGCAATCCCCCACCTCCTCCTGACTTCACAAAGAAGGCTCCATTCAGCATCAGGTCACCTTCAGATCTCCATGTCCACTGCTTCCAAACTGACTCTGTCGCGTAGTCCCTCTTCGTCACCTGCAGTATACATTTCACCCGACGTCTTCACGTAAACAGATAGAAGAAAGGAAGCCTTGGAGAGGACTAGAGAGACAATTGACTTGCGACTTGTTTACCTCCTTGGCAAAGGGGTTCGATGGAGCAATGTAGCGGTTCCCTTGGCTGATGATGGTGGGATGCTGGCTGCCGCCGACGGCATACATCTCCCAGTGGGTGTAGTCATTGTTCACAACGTGGACGAAACCCCATCGGCATCTGCGGACAAGAAATCGTCACCCGGATAAACCCGGTTGGTTCGGTCACAGTCAAGATCGTGTAGGATTTGGATATATGTCATGGTGGAAGAGTCTCGTCTCTAACCTTGGCATCCTCTGTACAAGGCCTTTTCCAAAGTGATTGAAAGCAACTGTAATCTGCATAATTGCATCTGGCGAGTAGGCATCGCTAGCACCAAACAGCATTGCCTTTTCACATATGCTCAACGTAAGCTCTGATTGGTCAGAATGGTAACACAGAGGAAGCATAACTTTTGGCTAATGGCTTACTTCGTTGTGTCGGGTGAAGTGGCTATTGGAGATGGTGATGGCTGTGGAACCTTCGATGGCGTCAATAAGCCCATCCATGCAGTTGGACATCGAGACATGGTCGATCCAGATGTTGCTCGAACCGTAGATGGATATGCCATCACCGTCGCTCCTGGTTCGGAGGCCGTAGTGGTGCTCGGAGTCCCTGATCATGCCGCCGTTGCCGGCCTTGATGTCTTGGATGTGGAGGTTGTGGACGATGACATTGTGCACGTACTGGATAGTGACGCCGGCGCCGCCCATGATCTGGACGTTGGCTCCCCGGCCATCGATCGTCTTGTAGCTGTTGACGATCAGCTCCTCGGTGAGGCGGATGACCATGTCGTGGGCGAACACGATCCAGAGCGGCCGGTCTTGGATCACACCGTAGCGGAGGGTGCCCTTCTTAGGGTTGACGAGGTCGTCGTCGGACGCATCGGTGACGACGTAGAACTTCCCGTTCTTCCCGCCGATGGTGTGGCGGCCGAAGCCCTTGGCGCACGTGGCCAGCTGCTTGCGGTGGTGGATCCAGTTCTCGTTGCATCTCCAGCACCTGTCGATCGGGTTCGTCGCCAGGCACGGGCCATGGGATCTCTTTTGGCCGCGCAGGCCCCTCCTTGTCACGTTTGTCTGCGCATCCCTGCATATATCACCAAAACATGAACCCTAATCACCATAATTGTTCTGCTGTACACGTAGATGGAGGAAGACCAGGGGCATACGGGAACGGAAGGCCGCTCCTTGTGGCGTTTCTCTCCAGCTCCCTGCAGACATAACCAAAACGTAAACCCTAACCATTACAGTTGTTCTGCTGAGAAGCATTAAGTGGTCTTTTTCGTGATTAATCATCTTCATGGGCGGCAAAAGCTAAATCGCGCCAACAGAAGCGTGCATGCGAGGAATGATGGGAGGAAGAAGAGGAAGACAAGGGAGAGGAAACGTACTCATACACTGCCTCGTTGAAATGTCGAGTCACAGACTCAGGGTCGGGGTTGTAGGAATTGCGAGCCTTGGATTGCGCTACCTCGGCCTTCTTCTGCCAGTACTCATCGAAGTCGGCGATATGGGCATTGGCGAAGGCAGCGGAGGCCAAGAAGACGAGGGAGAAGAAGAACAACCTCGGCCTCGACTCCATCACACAACCTCCCTTCTTCTTTTTCCCTCCTCGTCTATGATCTTGTTTTCTTCGATGCAGTACCAGACCGGACCAGAACTTGTCCTCTCGGCCTCCTACGAGAGATAGAAGAGGCAGAGGGACGTTGTATAAGGAGGAAGAGGGTGCGAGAAGACATGGGAGTCACAGATTTCGTGTCTATATATAGATCGAAATAGAAACACTCGGTGCATTCATCCTTCTCAGATCTCTCATTCGACGAGATCCTCTATTCTCGTCATTTTCTTTTAGATCCACTTGTGCCGCACCGAGTTGTGTTGGTTGGTTTCGAGTAAAAAGAGGATAAATATTCAAAGTCAACGCAGCGAAAACTCCGGTTGTGGAGTTACTGTTGGTCAATGACGATAATGTCGTGTGATCGAGTACGTTTCGGCGACGGTCAACTCGGCCCAGTTATTCACAATTCACCCAGATTTGGGCCGGCTTAGCCCGATAAATAGATAATCTTGACCCGGGCTAGCCGGCAATAACGATTTATTTTCGAGTCGCCCAGTAATGGGCCGGTCTAGACCACAATGATGAGCTATTCCCAATTTGCCTGGTTTTGGGCCGGCCTAGACCGCAAGGTACCATCACCTGCTACAGAAACTCCCAAATCGATCCAGGTCAAATCCCTAGAATACTCGTCGCCTCTCCCGCATGGGAACCAAGCACACCAGCCGCGGCCCCAAGTGGCGGCGACTGCAGGCCTACGCTGTCCGGACATTCCCGCCGGGATGCAGCCCATCGGCTGGGTACCCCTCCGGTTCCAGCTCCGCCACCGACGAGGGGGGACTGGACGAGGGCTCCTCGCCGGATATCGCGCCTGCGGAACGAGGGCCGGTGTCTGATGGGACGGGCGCGTCGGAGCCTTCGCAGGGGGGTTTGGATGAGACGGAGGCGTCTGGTGCTGAGGAGCTATCCCTTCCCGAGAAGCGCGATCGTGATTCGCGGAAGAACACTGCTTCGCGCATCCGGATCTTCCCTCCTGGCTGTGGTGCCAACAAATCGACCGGAGAGGGGCACTTTCAATGTGCTTCAGTTTCCCAGGCCGAGAATTTGGATGGAGAATCAACAAAGGAAGACGAAAGCGGGTCGAACTCGCGTGACCTCAACGCTTATGGAGCTGCTGTTGAATCTGCAACCATTGTAAGTGAATTTGGTGAGATAGAACAGCCGTCACGATCTGGAAAGAAGGTGTGCGGTAGCCAAAAGAGAGAGGTTTCTGAGGATCCAGAGCAAGGCTTGGTTGACATCAACAAGCAAACACCTGTAAGCGAGGCTAGTGAGAAGAATGTATCATCTAGATCGACATATGAGGAGACACTGGAGGCGGAGAGGAAGAAGCGGTCTTTATTGAAACAGCAAAGACAATCTGGGAAGAAGGTGGGCAGTAGCCAAAAGAGAAAGCTTCCTGAGGATCCAGATAAAGGCGCGATTGACACCAAGAAACTGACCAATGAAGATGGTTCCTCTCAATCTCCTGGCAAGACAGCGATTGTTTTTGGTGTCATGGCTGCTCAGAACTGTCCCTGGAGAAATGGAAAAAGGTCTCGTGTAAGCAAGCCCCAATTAGGGACGAGACCCAAAGGTAAGTTGGAGAGGAGAAGCCATTGAATGAGTAGTTGAAGCTTTTGCTGGATGCTAGTTTATGGTTGAAGAATATAGGTGGCTCAGTCAAAACGTTAGTGTTTCATGACTGCTTTAATCATTCACCTGAAACTTGTTTCTGTTTTCTATTAATGTAAAAAATGGAAAGTCCTATGTTGTCTTGTCTTGTCTTGTGGAGAATTTTAGTGTTTCTTTATGTTCTTTTCTTTAATGGATTATGCTGAGCACTTCTCTTATTATTCGTTGGTAATGGTTTTCTTCCTTGGTAAGGTGTTTGTATATTGCCGTCAGCTATGTTTTGTACTTCGTTTCTGTTCACTATGTCTAAACTTTAACCTTGGTGTTTTTTTGGCTTCCTACATCATGTTCTGTTTATTGCTAAATGACCAACCAGGGCACTCTGAGGTTGACGTTGGTTCTTTTTTTTTCTCTAAGAATGAAAATGAATGACTTCGTTTTGGTAGATGTCATTGGTCTAGCATATTTTATTGTGTCATGTTCACTAGATTGGATGTTTATGATCTTCACATTTCTTCTGTGGTTTTTGGTACTAGTTTGATCAATTAATTCATAACAATTTTGTCGGCGAAAATTAATCTTGCCTGGTTGCATCTTTTAATGAACTTCTTTTGTTTAACTTGTCAATGTAATATATTAGTTAGCTTTGTATTGCTCCACCATGAGTTCAAGCTTTGAAACTTGGATTCTAATTGGTGGTTTGAGCATCTTGGTTTTGTTGTTTTATTATGATTGTACCATTGCTGGATACATAAATATTGCTTAGATGCCAGGAGAATCATTGAGATCAGCCACTTTGTAATTACCATCTTGCTTAGTTTAGTTACTGGTAGTAATAATATCTTATTCACAGCCTCTTCCATATGCAGTTTGATATACTACATAATACAAGTTACTGTAACATTATGTAATTGCATGGTTGCCACTGTGGACGACTTAAAAGTGTGGTTATACTTGAAGTTTCTTGTAGCTTTTTACTATGAAATGTGTAGATATGCTTGTTAACCATAGTTATTTGCCGACTTATTCAAGTTTGAAAATGATGAAATAGTTCTCTTGTGAACAAGATGAACAATTTTACTGATATCAATTGAATACTTCATCCGAGCTTTAGATGTATTCATGTGATGCTTGCCTGTTTATTAGCGAGTACTTTTGGTGGTGTAGGTGCTTTGATGCAGATAAGTTTATTATATTGTAAGAATGACCTGAAATTGAGTAGCTGAGTGGCTTATTAGCATGTTTTCTATGCTCAAACATTCTGACATTGGAATGTTGTTTTTGCCATTGGTTTTCTCTCATTGATTCTTTGGTTTTTTCATTCTTTCTAATTTGAAGGGTGGAAGGGTCAAAGGGGCTTATAGGTGTGCTGACAGCAACTATGCTCTTGGATTTCACTTTGCCTTATATTTAGGGAATTGGAAAATGATAGCCCTTGCATTCTCATAAAAATTGCTTGACCATCAGAAGAGAGAAATCAAGATGATTTGAATGACAGAGACAAGTCTGTCGAGACTGTATTTTATAAGATGCTTTTCTACTTCATCTAGTACCTACTTTGAGGGGTGGGCATGTTCACAAAGCTCTATTTCTAGCATTTTGGTTCATATTGTTTTTGCAATGTTCTATTCTTCCATGTTTGCAGCTGGGAAACATCACTTGCATTAGTTTTTTACATTTTAATCTGAGGGGTATGAAATCATTATTCCAAGTCTAGTTCTTGTAGTTATAATGATGGAATCTAGTTTTACATCTTGGTTCTCAAATCTAGTCTATAGCATTGAAAATTTTCCTAGTTTGTAATTTCCCGGTGTTATTTTTGTTTTAATATTTATAAACTGAGATTAAAGATAGAGCAATTTTTGTTAATGAAACTGTGTAGTAGTAGGTTGGGTCTGAAAGTCTTTGCTGATGTTTCTTTTTGCTGACACTGATAATTACTACATCAATTTTGCTCTTAATAGAACCCAACCCCCATTCTCTCTCTTTTTTTCATCTGCTAGAAATGCATTATAATTCTTTCTAAGGTATTTGTCAGCTAAATAATGTTTTTATAAAGTATACTTAAAAGATAGCCAAGTTAGCAACAAATGAGAACTAGTAAATGTTTTTTTGGTCTCGAGATGATCTGGTGATACAACAAATGCATGGATATCCCATATACACTAGAATACTCTGTTAGATGAAGGAATGCTAAGATTACGCTTAGCAACAATTCTACTAGTAATGTTTTTTTTAGAGATTTAAATGCAAGATCTCTGGCTTTGGTATTATACTCTATTGTTTTACCTCTGATTCATCTAAATATTTATGGACACAAGATAATTGTATCTAAGGAATTCAACAAGATAGTCTCATAGCATAAATCTCAGCAGAGTAGTCAATAATAAAAGAATTGGGGCTAAATATAAATAGCTCCTTTTATAAAAAAAAAAATGTTTCAAAAAATGCTTCAATTTTTTATTTCACTTGCTGCTTCCATAGACTGCATGAGATGTAAAGCATATGAATTGTTTGGAAAACCTCACATACTAAAACATCACAGGTGGAGTGTTTATTAGATCCATGAACATATTGTAGAGCAAATGACCCTCACACTGAAACATCACAGGTGGAGTGCTTATTAGATCCACGAAGAACATATTCCTATTTTAAAGATCAACCAAAAGACAAGTAGAATAGGATCCCAATGACACAAGCAGTGATGCATGCATGTATTCCTCTTCTGAAATCATCTTTGCGATGTTAGATTACTGCTTCCTAATATGAGCAGATACAGATGGAAATCATGCTTCTTTTATTCGAAGGAGACATCCTAATTCCATCCCCTTTGGTGCTGCACTACATATATATGCGTTAGATATAAACAACCAGATGCTCCAATCCACTCTGAGTTGTCTATGATATAAATATATTTATCTTATCATTCTGAAGAGATAGAATACATAATACTGGAAATATATAAATGTAAGGAATGGAAGGTGATTGATTGGTTGAGAGGGAGGCGAGAGCAGTGGTGATGGGGGTTTCACAACCTGAAAGCTTTACAGGTATGATGAGGATGAGATTTGATAGGAGCAGAAAAAGAAAATGCTTATTATAAGAGTAGTGGCAGATAGAGCAAGTGACTACTGATTCCATTCAAAGTGCAAAACAGGTTCCCTCTGGTACTTCCCACCTCTATATATATCCTTCAAATCCTGCTGTGTTCTATCAAGCACACAAACCCTACGGTGTTCCGGCAATTCCTCCTGTCTCTCACCAGCTTGGCCTTCTCCATGGATGATCTTGATGCATGCAGGCTTTCTACAAGGAGAGAACGAGCTTGATGGAGCTTGACAGAAGAGAGTGAGCACCCATGGTGATCTCTTGCATGAAAAGTCTGCATGCTCGAATCCATGTGTGCTCACGTCTCTTCCTGTCAACCGCTACCAATCCCACTTACACATGTAGTGGGCATATATTGGTGGTGTTAGAACC